GAAAGTCTGTATGTATTGTGACGTGGGGTTGGTTGGCTGGCTCAGTGTGGTAGATGCATTTTAGTGAGTCATGTCATTCCAAACTTTCAGTTTGAGGGCTTGGTAGCCCACTTTTATATCGAGATGAAAAGCAGAATCTTAACACAATGGTTGCCCACGTATGGGAAGTCAGCTTCTCGCAACAAAACTGAAAAATGGCAGCCCAGCTGCTCATTAGTAATGGTCCCTAAGATCATCAGTGAACACAGCTTCAAACTCTGTAATGCACAGAGCTCACACGTGTCTCCTAAGATGAAGCCCCCTCGTGTCTCCTAAGATGAAGCCCCCTCGTGTCTCCTACGATGAAGCCCCCTCGTGTCTCCTACGATGAAGCCCCCTCGTGTCTCCTACGATGAAGCCCCCTCGTGTCTCCTACGATGAAGCCCCCTTGTGTCTCCTACGATGAAGCCCCCTCGTGTCTCCTACGATGAAGCCCCCTCGTGTCTCCTACGATGAAGCCCCCTCGTGTCTCCTACGATGAAGCCCCCTCGTGTCTCCTACGATGAAGCCCTCTGTTTCCCAGCTCGAGCCCTGTTTTTAAAAATGGAAGCCCTGAGCTCTCCTCGGGTTAGGCTCATAGTGACAGGTTGCAAGTGTCCAGAAAAAGCCAAATAAAGGATTGAAGGTTCTGGCCCACCCAAGACATTTGGAACCTTCAAACTCCAGGCCCACAATGCATATTCTGTCCTGACTACACATTTCTCTGTGTGTAACTTGACATGCAGTTCAACCACTTCAGTACCGGGCACTTTTACCCCCTCCCTGGCCAGGCCAATTTTCCCCTTTAAGCACTCTCACACTTTGACAATTGTGCGTTCATGCAACGCTATATCCAAACTACATTTTTCTAATTTTGTTCACACAACTAGAGCTTTCTGTTGGTGGTATTAAATCAAAACTGGATTTTTTTTTTTTTTTTGCCAAATTAGCAAAAAAAAAAAACCAAAAAAACACTTCTTTTCTTTTGTTTGTTTAAAAGTTTGCAAATAATTGTTCATAAATTTAGGCCAAAATGTATTCTGCTACATTTCTTAGGTGAAAATAACCCAAATCCGTATTTAATTTTTATTATACAAAAATGCAGCACAATACTATATTCTCAGACAAAGTTGTTTATAATGAATTATATATATGATGAATAAACAAATCTTGCTGTGGGACAATGTGGTACACTTACATGACCATATCTGTGCTCCATATAATGTATTACCATATATTAACACCTTTCTCATCTTGCTGCCCATATTAACCATCTGTTATATGAACCATATCCACTGTGTGTCTAATATCTACTATCCAGTGTCCCAATATAAATAAAAAGGGACAGTTCACAAAGGATTTTTAAGACTCCATGCTCCAAGTGCTGATGTGGAATCTCTCAGCTGTGTATATTCACCCAGTGCTTGTGTCCCCCAGTCCTTAATCCACCTCCGACACACTTATGCGCTTACCTTGTGGATTGACCTGAACCGTCAGGTCAAAGTGTGCCCTGGCTGGTATGCTGGTATATAAATCTCCAACTCCTCCTACACCTCCAAAATGCACCACAGACAAATGGAAAAAATGCTCCAAATGGTCAAGTATATCAAAAAAGCATAAGCTTTACTAAAACACTTAATCTTCCACTCACATTTATTTGTGTCCACCTGGGACACTACAGATCAAGGACTCTTTGTATATTAATTTTTGTAACTGAAACTGCATGGATCCCTTATCTAAGATGGTGGTACGTACACTTCCGGTTACGGCTTGATGTCATCGGCGTACCCTATGCGTTGCGTCACGACGTGACTTCATTTAATTTTTAGTCTTTGTGAACACCACAGGATATATTTGAAATTTGATCAATTCTGATGTACTGACAGCCAAACTAATTTTTTGAGGCCCCAAAATGTCAGATTAGTACAGATGGCTCCTTTTTTGCAACGTAGACAGTCCAAGGTATTTAACCCCTCGCGCTCCAGAGAATTTCCACCTCTTCCTGACCAGGCCATTTTTTTTTTGCGTTATGGCGTTACTTAAATTTAATTTGGGCGCTGCATTGCATGACCACACAATTGTCATTTAAAGTCCCACGAGGGGAAGGAGAGTGGGAGGGGTAAATGGGAGGCAGGGGTAGGAGAAAGGGCAAGGGGGGAGTGGGAGGAAGCAGGGGGACATTGGGGAGGGGGGGTAGTGGTAGGAAGGGGGGGAGGTGAGGAAAGGACTGCCTCTTCATGGTCAGCTGATCTCTAGGCTCCGGCCCTATGCAGTGAATGGAAAAGAGGCCGGGTGGGCGGAGCAGCATAGCTGCAATGGTCAGTCTTGGCTTCCTGCCAGATCCTAATGATGTCAGTGGGTGCAGCAGGGGATCAGCGCTTCGGGAGGCACAGAGAGGGTAAGATAGCTGGATTGCCATTAATTCAGGTTGGCATAAGCCGAGCCCACCTTCCCTCTCAAGACTTGCCGAGCCCGCCCCCCTGCCTAAACTCTGCCTCCCGCTCGAGCTCACGCCGAGCGGTGCTGCCGCCCTAGTCAAACGCCTTGTTTGCCTCGTGGCAGATACGCCCCTGCCTGTGGCCATGGAGGGGATTGGAACACCTGAATCACATGATTTGGAGGGTGGGGCCAATATTTTTGGCAATATAGTGTATATAAAAGTCAAATACATTAAGAAATGTTCTTTTTATATCAGTTACATAATATGTACATTTCATCAGCCTGGAATATCAGCTGTCACCAAGGAAGCACATAGTGTGAACACATTGCTGACTGAAGCAAGGGGGGTGTTGAATTTGTCTGTATTTCTGGCGATTTAACAAAGGCGTAGCGTGTTTTTGGGAGTACTTAGGATTTTGGTAAAGTCTGCCTCGTATATGCGAAAATACTCACTCTTTGTAAATCTTCCATATCCCCAGTGAAGTGACCGGCCTCCAGTGGTACAAAGAGATGAAGCAAATTCTCCTGCATAAGTTGTACCTGTTTATCTGAAGTTTTCTCTTCTCTACATCAGTTCAAAGTGTTGAATTTAAACAGCTTGTCTGACGTGGCAGAGAGCTGAAGGTAAAGTCTTACTAAACCCACAACTGTAAAATCATTCTTGTTTACAGACTGTGCAAACTTAAGGGGTCAATCCTCTGCATGGTCTAAAAAGGCTATTTGATCCTCTCTTCTCTTATCCTCCCCTTTTTCAAGCAACCACCACTTATCTCCAGACTGAACCGTAGGCATGCACATGCTCAGTTTGGTGTGTATTGCTAGAGGTTTTTTTTTTTTTTTACTTGGGAGAGTACATGTGATCAGCACAGGGCCAATCAGCACTGTCCAGACAGAGGGTCAGGGGTTCTGCATCCTCCAAAAGCAGAAAGAAAACTCCTATAAGATTTAGCTAGTGCTGGGCTGGACACTGATAGAAGTCACAAAACAGCTATATACTGCTGATGAAAAGTATTTAGAAGTTTATATTTACTAAAATAATTGCACTTCTGTGTGTACTGTGGGAAACTGGATATAGGGAACGCGGGGTCCGGGGAGGGGACACAGTGAACCGGGGAGAGCGGACACAGTGAACATGGGGATTAGTAACACGTTAAACACTGGAGAGTTTGAGAGCTGATAGGAGGGAAGAGACACACCCTCCTTTACACATCTCATAGGCTGTGTGCTATAGATCCCTCCTCTGTCACCATTTTTCTCTCTGGTGTCAGGAAAATTTGACAGAAATGACTTATGCTGATAGCAGAGGAAAGAAGCAACAGCAAGAAATGACACTTGGGGGGGTTCATTTATTAAAACTGGAGAGTGCAGCTCTATTTAGAAGCCAATCAGCTTCCAGATTCCATTGCCAAAGCTTAATTGAACCAGCTGAAGTTAGAAGCTGATTGGCTACAGCTGTATCAGATTCTCAGTGCTCCAGTTTTAGTAAATCTCCCCCATAGTGTTCTTAAAGGTTCCTTTGCAAAATGTTACATGTTCCACTCATTTTTACGGTGGAACATACAGTATAACATGTTCCTATTGCCGCAGCTCGCCCCCTTTCTGACAGTACAGGGAAACTTCTTCCCGTACTTTGTCAGATTTGAAAACAGTGTGACCCGGGCGGGGCTCCGCCCACACGGCTGTCATTCATTCCCAGTTCTGTAACTGAGTGTCTACATGTCCCATCGGCCTTACTGGCTGTGGGCTTGTAGTGTTCAATGAACTACCATGCCGCTGAGAGAGTTCATTGAAGGTTCCTGTCAGAATATCGTACACCCCATATACCCCCATACATCAACAGATATTCTGACAGACCTGCATGGTGTCGCAGATCTACTGTTCTCTGGTGTAATGCTTTACAGGCTTCTTTGGACAAAAATAATGTATTTTTTTTTTATACCTGTAAAAACTGGACATTTATATTTTGTCCAGAAGGTGAACGTATTCTTTATCTGAGACCTCAACAGTTTCACACTAAGCACACACTGTAGGGCGGTCTCTCTCAACATGGAGGAACCTCTGAAATAACTTTCTGGCCTTGGGGGAACCCCTGATAAAAATGATTATATCTACATATCAGCATGGATGTCACTCCACTTCCTCAAACTCAATCTTTCCAAAACTGAGCTCTAATGCGGGCCATAGATGGGTCGAAAATTAGTCCGAAAGAATAATCGTCCGATTTTCGGATCGTTAGTGGGTGAATTTGTCGGCCGTTTTTCGTGATTTTGACACATTTTTTTAATCGGCTATGTTGGGAAAAAAAAAACAGCCGATTTTGTCCATCGGCCGATTTTTGCAGCAATGATGGGCAAATCGCCGATCGTTTTAATGATAAAAAAATCGGAGCATGAGCCGTGACCTGCAAGGGACAGCAGTTATGGGGTGAACTTTAGGATTTAGTCGGCCAATTTTTTTTACTCGTTGGTGGTAACGTCGGAACGAACGACCGATTTTTCGTTTATCGGTCGAAAAAAAATCGTCCGATGTTCGACCCATCTATGGCCTGCATTAGCATTCCCCCCCAGCCCGTAGTCCCTCCCCTCATGCCAGGGTACCAGGTGTAATCCTAGACTCCCATCTGTCCTTCCATCCCCCAATCACTGTCCAAATCTTGAAGACTTCACCTCCGCAACATCTCCAAGATACGCCCGTTCCTAACCTCAGAAACCACTAAGCAACCTATTCACTCCCTTGTTATCTCTCGCCTTGACTATTGTAACTTCCTCCTTATTGGCTGACCTCATCGCAGGCTATCCCCTCTTCAGCCTATCATGAATGCTGCTGCCAGACTCATCCACCTTACTAACCGTTCTGTGTCTGCCACCCCTCTCTGCCAATCCCTCCACTGGCCTCCAATCGGTGTCCTCCACCCCTCTCTGCCAATCCCTCCCCTGGCCTCCACCCCTCTCTGCCAATCCCTCCCCTGGACTCCATTCGGTGTCCTCCACCCCTCTCTGCCAATCCCTCCACTCAGTGTCCTCCATCCCTCTCTGCCAATCCCTCCACTGACCTCCGCTCAGTGTCCTCCACCCCTCTCTGCCAATCCCTCCACTCAGTGTCCTCCACCCCTCTCTGCCAATCCCTCCACTCAGTGTCCTCCACCCCTCTCTGCCAATCCCTCCCCTGGACTCCATTCGGTGTCCTCCACCCGTCTCTGCCGTGTCCTCCATCCCTCTCTGCCAATCCCTCCACTGACCTCCGCTCAGTGTCCTCCACCCCTCTCTGCCAATCCCTCCACTCAGTGTCCTCCACCCCTCTCTGCCAATCCCTCCACTCAGTGTCCTCCACCCCTCTCTGCCAATCCCTCCACTCAGTGTCCTCCACCCCTCTCTACCAATCCCTCCACTGGCCTCCACCCCTCTCTGCCAATCCCTCCACTGGCCTCCATTCAGTGTCCTCCACCCCTCTCTGCCAATCCCTCCACTGGCTTCCCATTGCCCAACGGATACAATTCAAAACACTAACACTAATGTATAACTCCGCCCCCAATTACATCAACGATCTTGTATCTACATATCACCCAAACTGTACTCTCCGCTCCTCACAAGACCTCCTGCTCTCTAGCTCCCTTGTCTCCTCCTCCCATGCTCGTCTCCAGAGCTTCTCCCATCCTCTGGAACTCTCTACCCCAATCCATCAGACTATCGCCTACTCTGGTCACTTTTAGGCGATCTCTGAAAACCGATCTCTTCAGGGAAGCCTATCCTGCCCTCAGCTAATAATGGAATCTTCTACTCTTCCAACCAGTCCATCCCCCACAGTTACTACCTTTTGTACCACTAGCCCCTCCCTCCTAGATTGTAAGCTCCCAGGATCAGGACCCTCCTATCCCTCTTGTATTGAACTGTATTGTTGCTGTATTGTCTCCCGTTATATTGTAAAGTGCTGAGCAAACTGTTGGCGCCATAAATCCTGTATAATAATAATACAACTCACGATGCGTTAGTGTCATAGTTACACTTGTGGTCGCTGGGAAGAATGAGCCCTTTATGAAAAACCTAAAAAGATCAATGGTGTCAGTGGGAACATATCTGAGCGGCAGACGTTGCTCAAGGAACCTTCTAGCAACCTCCTAGAGGAACACTGATGGAGAAACCTGCTATAGAGGGATATGTTGTGTTCATATTTCAGGTTTGAGGTTTAGAACCAATATTCAGCATACTTTAGCCATGTCACATTTCTCTGAGGCACCCTGCACACCCCACAGGTCCCCATCCCCCCTTTTTCAAGGTGGGAAGGTATGACAATATTGCACCAAGGTAACATCGAGTGATGATCTATTTCTTCAGTTTCATGTTTAGACCACCATTCTCAGATCTCACACACCTTGCTCTGGTCAGAGGGGCCGATAGCAGCAAGTTTCCACCTATCACTAATATATAGGACTCGTTTGAGGAATAGTCTGATCAGCTTCAGCATTTGAAGTCAACCAAGAGAGGCTGACTATACAATTTTCTGTCCAATTTCCTTTAGATTTACCTTGAACTATGTAGTGTAAGGGCCGGCCTAATTGGATACAATTAAAAGTGTTGTTAGATTTGACTTCCTATTATATGGTTTTTGGTAAATCTAAAGCAAAAATCAAGAAAATTGTATAATGTATGGTCAGCCTAAGGGCTGTTCACACTAACTCTTGCCAAACGCCCCTATAGTGTTTGACAGAGGTTTGGAAAGCATTTTTAAACCTTCCTCAAATGCCTCCTGGCTCCACATGAGGCGTCAGTTTTGCTGCGACGCTTTGATGTGAACAGCCCTGTGTGCTGCCATGTGTAGAATTTTCATAGGTGTTTGAGGAGCGTTAAAAACACTTCCTAAACACCTGTCTAATGCCTGCTAACAAAGCTTGTGTGAACTCAGGCTCTATGCACACTGGGGGGGGTTTGATAACACTGGTATAGTTAGCTGTGGGTCAAAAAAGTCCTTAAACACTGCTTTTTGCCACATTTTCAGCATTCTAGCACATTTATAGCAAAAAAAAAATCCTCCTAGAAACCCACTAGTCCTGGGCTTTTTTTTCCAGCCAAGAAAACTTTGATTACAGTCTGTGTGCATGGGTACATAGGATAACATGCTGGGGGGGTTTACTGGCTGTAGGGGGGAAAAAATGGCAAAAGGCAAAACCAGCAGCTGTAAAACCATCCCGTGTGCATGAAGACTAAAGGAATATGAAAGAGTGAGAGCCAGAGTGTGAAATAATGAATGAGGGTGGGGCAGGCTGGTCATGGGCTCAGTGGGCGGGGGCAGGCTGGTCATGGGATCATTGGGTGGGGTAGGCTGGTCATGGGCTCAGTGGGTGGGGCAGGATCCAAAGCATTGTGAATTGGTTCTCATTGATTGGCTGGAGGAGACCATGTGATCAGTGGGTTGGACCAGAGAAGCTTATAGAAGGCTGGGAAGGAGGAACAGACCGTTAGATGTATTTTGGGAGAGGGAGAAAAAATGTAGTGGTGCTGAGATCATTATTATGGGAAGACAGATGGAGATTATGGTTTCTTAGCATAGTCATGGAATTCTATAGTACATAGTGTTTCCAAAATAGAACATGAACCTAGTTATACTACAAGATCAGAGAGGGATAGAAAGTCTTCTGAGACAATGCACTTTGTTTTTTTATTTGCCAGGGTAAAGTACTTTAGAAGTCTTTAGTAAATGGAAGTTAAATTCAGTTCTTGAGAAGTTGGCCGCAATGGAAGGTGAAAGTTGGAGACACGTTGCAGTACTTTCCTTGGCTTCTATATGTAGTAACTCATCTGAGCATGGGGGGGGGGGGGGGGGGGGGGGTAAAGTTGCTCATTACTTTTTTTTTCTTTTATCCATGAGTGCTACATTGACTATAGTATTAATGTGGGATTGTGTACATGGAGGTCCAGATAACTGTTTAATATCCAGTTCTCTTATCTTGTACTGGTGACTAGAAGTCCTTCACTAGCCATGCTGTGTTGAGGATCTCCATGTTATAGGCAGGGTAAGATCTGTGTATGTGGTGTAGATCCATCCCACCTGTGGGAGTCTCCTCTCCAATCAGCTGGATGGAGTGTTCTCATTGGTCACTTGTGTCCTCCCCCTTCACACATTGCTCATTTGCTGCTAATCCCCACAGGGGCTGGATGGTGAAGGATACTTCCACTTGTCTTTCATGCAGGCCATACATGGGTCAAATTCTAAACCTTTTCTTTAGAAAATGGGAAATTTCATGAGCTGTATAATCTGATGGTGCTCTCATCGACTTTCAACATTTCACTAGGCCTTAAATTTCTCATGTTCAGCTAAATTGTTTGGAATCTTTCCAGGTCATAGCTCGTTTCTTTAAATTTCTTGCACAATCCTCCCATTAATTTTTTTAAAATTTCCAACATGCCCAGTTACTCAAATTCAATGTTTGCTCAACAAACAGCAGTTCCTACAGCCCACTATTGGTGCAACATTTTGAACAAGTCTTAGGCTGGCTAGACATTATACAATTTTCTTGAGAATTTTGCTTTAGATTTACAAAACACCATAATGCAAGTTTGAACCTAAACACTTTCAATTGTATCCAATTCGGTGGCCATTGCACTACATGATTAAAGGTAAATCTAAAGGAAATTGGACATATTGTGTATTGTAGTATTGAGGGATTGTGTACATGGAGGTCCAGATAACTATTTAATATCCAGTTCTCTTATCTTGTACCTGTGACTACTAGTAGGTTTTTTTTTTTCCCCAAAAATGTTAAATTTGACCCATGAATGTCTGGCTATAGACAGGATCAGATCTGTGTGTGTGTAGATCCATCCCACCTGTGGGAGTCTCCTCTCCAATCAGCTGGATGGAATGTTCTCGTTGGTCACCTGTGTCCTCCCCCTTCACACATTGCTCATCTGCTGCTAATCCCCACCAGGGGCTGTATGGGGAAGGATCCTTCTAGTGTTTCATGCAGGCCATACATGGGTCAAATTCTCAACAATTTCTTTAGAAAATTGGGAATTTCATGATCTGTGTACTCCGCTGGCGCCCCCCCATTGACTTCAACATTTTAACTAAGCCTTCAATTTCTAATATTGCTAAAGAGCATTTTATATATCTTTTTGGTTTTCAAATGCTCACAACCAACAATTGTATCAAATCATGAAATGCACAGTAAAGAAAAAAAAAAAATGGGCTCATCCATGAGGTGTATAGGTACATACAATGTCAGTACACAACACTGAATTAGCCATCAGACCATTGAGTAGGCAAATTGGTAATGAAAAGATTCCTTGGTTCCCAAACTGCCTCAAAGTTTGGGACAGCATGTAAAGCAGCGAGGTACTCCATACTTCTAATCTCTGACCTTCACCAATTCCCATCATGTAGGAGGTGTAGTAGAAAGCCAATGCATGGGAATGGTTCTGGCTGCTGGCAAAACATGGGAGTTTCCTGGCAGATTTGTAGAAACCTAAGAAATATTGTGACCTGGAAAAAAAAAATTATAATTTCTTGTACAATTTTCCCATTTAAGAATTTTTTTTATTTTGAACATGCCCAATTACCCAAATTCAATGTCTGCTCAAAAATCAATTCCTGCGGACCACTAATGGTGCAAAATTTTGAACAAGTCTTTTTTGGGTTTTTCCAAAGAACATTCTTTCTGAATTTGACCCATGAAGGGCTGGATATAAACAGGATAAGGTGTGTATAATGTGGTGTAGATCCATCCCACCTGTGGGAATCCCCTCTCCAATCAGCTGGATGGAATGTTCTCGTTGGTCACCTGTGTCCTCCCCCTTCACACATGGCTCATTTTCTGCTTATCCCCGCCAGGGACTGTATGGTGAAGGATACTTCCACTAGTCCTAGCTGCAGACCCGGTTTGTACCAAATAGTTTAGATATTTTCAATGTTATCAAAAGTAGTAAACTTTTTTTTTTTTTTTTAAAGAAATAAAAAAAATTAGGAGGCATAATTTAGTAATCGGGAGTTTTTTCACCTATAACAAATTAAGTTTGAGCTTTTCCATGGTTTAACGATCAGTCTGGAAGGAAGGCTTCTTGTTTAAACACCAAAGTTTAGGTGTTTTGAAATTTTCCATTAAGG